TCTAATCGACTGGTCACGATCGACTAATCGTATTCGACTAAATTATTGTATATCTTCCTATATATAAAGTTGATTGTCAATTTATTATACACTTTATGTAGAAATTAATTGATCTATACACTACTATAGTTATATGTCGTTTCAATGATAATCTCATGTCTTGCACCCGCACATACTTACTAACAATGCAATGTAAAATACAATTCATTTTATTTTATGAATATATTCCTATACATATGAAATATATCATTTAATTCAATTTAGATACAAACTTTGCCTCCCTTTAATTCCAAGTACCCCAACGTTCACCATTTATATAAGTACCAATTTCGTAAACCTCGTATAGACATTGACCTTTGATACATGGATCGACCAACCATGTTGCATCATAGACATCAACATTCGACGTTTTATTGCCCCACACGAGGTTGCATTTAAATAAAGTAAATATTGGTACCACACAAAAACTAAAATTATAATCCTGATTTTGTGTCAGCGTATGGTTTCCAAGATCATCATTCCTCGACTTACAGTGCACTGACAATGGTAGGGAATTGTTCGGAAGTTTGTTAACGACAGAAATATGAATTCTTCGGTAGAAAAAACAACTTTTGCCTTCGTGTATCGAACACGCAAAAATGATGAAAATAAAAAAAAGATATTTGTCCATAGTTTGTATGTAGAGTTTGATTTATTGTTGCTTCTTAGATATTTTCTCTTTTTAATGTGTGTTAGTCTTATTTATATATTAACTATTTCCCTAGCATATGTTGACAATTTGTAATAAAATTGTGTAATGTGAATATGGGGCTTATTAAAGTTTTATTAAAGTTAAAAGTTGTGTCTTTTTTTTTTTATATAAAAAGGGAAAATTACCGTTTTCATCCCTCAAGTTTGCATCGATTTTATATTTGGTCCCCCATGTTTACAAAAACACATTTGGTCCCTCATGTTCCGATAATTTAACACTTTTGGTCATTTTCGTCAATTTACCGTTAGTCCGTTAGTCAAGGCAACATGAAACACGCTTGATTTCATTAGTTTTAATGGAAATTTGAGGGAAAAGACTACAACAAGTGTTGAATTCTTGAAACATAAAGGACCAAATGTGTTTTTTGGGAATATAGGGACCAAATATAAAATTGGTGCAAATTTGATGAACAAAAACTGTTTTTTTCCCCAAAAACAAAAAGTTAAAAGTTGTGAAGGATTGTTGAATTGTTTGGATTGTATTAATTTGTACTAAGATAGCACTCGAATAAAAGATATAAAATGGCGTTGACATATATTTGAATGTGTTTATTTCAATTATTTATATTATAAAAGAAGTCAAAATTGTCTAGTCAACTATTACATATCACAATAATAATTTATAGATTATACATTAATAACCAAAGGAAATTACACGGCTGCACCATATGTTATATTGAATTTGACTATTAATGTATAATCTATAAAATAATTTATAAAATAATTTCGACGACTGAATTCTCAGCAACCATAATAAAATAGTTGATATAGATATATATTTAGCCGACGAATAATAACTTGGTCGAAACAAATAATTTCCATTGAAAATTACGTCGATTAAGCGGAGTTGGAGTTTTTCGGATTGAAAACCCGAGTATCTCACACAACTCTAGGCGGATTGATGAATTTTTTCGCGAAAAAAAGAAGAAGGAATATGCCAAGTTTTGTTTAGTATGGTTGTGAAAGGTATATATAGCGTTTGCCCAAAAAATACTAGTTGCTTAACCCAAAGTGGGGTGAAAGTCGGATGGATCAGTTCGGAATTAGCCTTTACGGAAAATTTCCAAAAAAAATCGGAAGTACAAACTGAATTCCAATTCTAATTCCAAAATTTCGGAATCTAAAAATTCATTCTAATTCCAAACAGTCCGGGAATTTTGAAGAACACATTCACAAAAAAAAAAAAAGAAAAAAAAATCTCGTTTTATTTCATGAATATATTCATGCACATATGAAATATATCATTTAATTCAACTCAAATACAAACTTTCCTCCCTTTATTTCCAGGAAGCCCAAAGTCGATCATCTATATAAGTACCACTTTCGGTCACATAATATACGCATTTGCCTTTATCGCATGGATCGACCCACCATGCCGCGGAATAAACAACAACGGTGGACGTCCTCTCACCCCACACGAGTTCACATTTGAAAAGTGTAAATATAGGCGCCACACAAAAACTAAAATTAATTTCTTGATTCAGTGGAATCGTAGGATTTCCTAAATCATCGTTCCTCGAATAACAATGCGCCGACAATGATGTGTCACTGTTAACAAGTTTGTTGACAACTGAAACATGAATTTTTCGGAATATAAAGCAAGATTCGCCTTCGTGTAACAAACACATAAAAAGGACGAAAGACAGTAAGAGATATTTCGCCATCGGTCGTATGTATATTGATTTTGAGTTATTATTGTTTTTTTGAGAATTTTTTTTTATAATGTGTGTTAGGTATTATGTCTTTGAGTCTTATTTATAGCTTAATTATAGCTTAATTATTTCTATAATATATGTTCACAATTTGTAATACACTTGTGCAATGTGATTATGGGGCTTGTTGACTTTAAAATTTGTGAAATATTGTGACAATATATTTATTGTCGAATTGTTTTGATTGTATTAATTTGTACTAAGATAGTACAAAGAGAAATGGAATGATGTTACGTAGAAGAAAATAAGTCAAAAGATTGACTAGGTAACTATTACAAATTACAATTATTATAATCTATAGATACACTAATCAAATGAATTATGTTGGTCCATATGTTATTATTGAATTTGACTATTTTTAATAGATTTTGGCTTTATTTGAGTACCTTTCTTAAGGAGTCCTGTTGACTACATCTACATAGGTTAGAGCCTTTTGACAAAACCTATAAATTCTTAAAAACCTCTTAAAAGATGTTTTAAAACTTATTATAATAGGTGTTTGATAAATTCTTTTAGAAAAATCTTAAATTATTCTCTTAAATAATAATAATAATAATAATAATAATAATAATAATAATAATAATAATAATAATAATAATAATAATAATAATAATAATAATAATAATAATAATAATAAAAAATTAAATAAATAATTTTGGGCACCCCTAGATAAGGTCAAATAACGAAAAAATCCTTCATGTTTGGGTAATTACAATCATCTCTCAATTCTAAATTTTCTTACATGTCCACCATTGCTGTAATATTTAGTGAAATCTTCTAAATTATATGGAATATTCTCCAGTTTGTACCTATTTTACACCATTCGAGCTGCACATTTTGCAACAAGATGATCATAAAGATGAGTCTACTGACTTGTAAATATCGAATTGTGATGCATCAGAAACTGCATTTTTGCATAAAACTAAGTACAAACTACAGAACATTACACGTAATTTAGAAGATTATACTGAATTTGACACTATAAAGGTCGACATGTAGGAAGATTCATATTTGAGGGATGATTGTAATTATCCAAATAATAGGGGGTTTTCGTAATTTAATTACCTTAGGGAGTTGCCAGTAATTTACGCTAATAATAACAATAATTCTCCGATCATAAATTTTGACTTCACTCCCATTATATATATATAGCTTACAAAACAAGTCCACAAAAATGAAGTACTAAACCATAAACTCTAGCTCATAGCTCATCGTCTGAAGCCAACCCGCTTGCTTCTCTGTGCAGTGAGATAAATTGAGGTGATTTTCTGATTCTTCTTCCTATTGTTCTATGTGTAATGTGTTTATACTTTATATAGATCGAGCTGAACAATTTCTGACTCAAATTAGGGTTTTACTGATGGGAAATTTGGGGTAGCTTTTAGTATTCTGAATTTAGGGTTCAATAGCGATGCTGGGAGAAGTAGCTCCGTCACTTTTTCCGTCGATTTGAACCCCATAATTATGTTTTATTTTGTTTAAATTTAAGGTATTTAGTTGGGGAACTTGAACTCAGTGTGTGTGTGTGTGTGTGTCTGTGTGTGTCTTAGTGTCTATATATTTATATATATATATATATATATATATATATATATATATATATATGTGTGTGTGTGTGTGTGATCATGCTTTGAAATTATTTGAAATATCATACACAGGGCAAACATTTCCGTATTTCTCGTAAGCAAAATGGCCGATAACATGTCCGCCCTTAGAAAAGCTATGGACAAATTAATATTACATATCGAAAAGCATGAAGCAGAACAATCTTCTTCATCTACAAGTGGACAACGCCTAGTCATTCCCGATAAATGGAAAGCTCTTTTTGAATCCATCGACGGACCGACCGATAGGACTAGATATCTCCAATTAATGGAAAACTCGTTGGACGGTACCACGAGTATGAACGATTGGAAGGATCTTCAACCCGGTCAAAAGCCCGTGATAAAGTTGCATAGATTAACCGTGGATCAAATCTGCGAACTTGGAGTCGAAGTTTTTCGAGGATTGAAAACCGGGGTATCTCACAAAACTGTCGGTGGATTGATGCTCTTGGCGTTCAACTTAACCGACAAATTCGATTTACCACTATTTGCGGACCCGAAATTTGAATTGGTGGATAAATCGAAGGAGATGGATATTATCGAACTTTCGGCCACCCCAATCAATAACTTGACCACCTCATCTGCTTCGATGAATTTTGGTGAAAGATTTACGGATTATCAAAAGGGTCGATTCGCAAAGAGCTGCTGTTTTATTGCGTGTAGTTATCTGAGGCTTTACAGCAAACCGGTGGATAATTACTTGAGGATTGGGCATTTATTGAGGAACTCGTTCGCGAAGTTCTACGGTTTTCAGTTGGCTTTGCAGAATTTTCACCCGGAGAAGGAAGGAATACAGGCTGTGAAGACTGTAATGGATTTGCAATCGGTAATAAAGAACACGTTTTACGTGTTGTTGTACGCTGGCGAAGAAGAGAAAAACGGGAGAGAGATTAAGGATTTCTTGTATGTAATGCACGTGGCGTATATTGGTCTTCATCCTTACACTCTGTTCTTGAAATGCGTGGAGGATTTGAAAACTTCGGATGTAATTTTCATGCAAGCGATTTATTCCGGGAGGATGAAGAGAGATGTGGAATCTTTGCTGCATGTTTTCGAGAATTTGAGCGGGAAAATTGAAGACGAAGAGTATCGGCTTCAAATGTGGAAATATGGGAGGATTTTCGACTCGAGATTTTTGAGCGTCTTGCAGACGAAAAAGTGTGTTTACTTCACGTGGGTTTTGGTGTATGTGCTGTATTTCAATAATCCGGGGTCGAATGAAGGCTTGTTGAAGATTGCGCAGATTCAAGACATTTCGGAAGGGAACAAATCTGAGGCGAAAGCACATGCGAAAAGAGCTTTGGAACTTATTGCCAAAGTTGCCAAAAGATGATTTATCCGACAATTTGTTGGCTTTTAAAGTTTGGTTTAAATTTCGTGTGACGGTTTTTGGCAATCTTGATTTATGGTCAGAATCATAAATTGTGTGCTTTCTTGCTTGATTTTGTTTCAATTTTCAAATGCATCAATATTGGAAACATAAGTATGAAAATATTTACATGATGTTTATGCCTATATGTATCAATATTTACATGATGTTTATGCCTATAGTTTACATATATACGCAATGTTTGGATTCGTTTTTCGGGGTTATTTTCATCTTATTTTGGGGAAATATCTTTCGCAGGAATAATTTGAGAATGAAAGTAATATTTGTTTATAATTTGAGATGTGACATAATACATTGGTCAATCATGTTTAAATCCTTTTTGACAATGTATTGTAGAAGAAAAATTGAAAAATAAAGTTATGTTTGTTTGTTATTCCAGTGAAGACAATTTTTACTAAGTTTGTTTCGGAGAAAGAATAAAAGTGAAATAAAAACAGAACTAAACATTTTAATCTTCCTAAATTTCTCTAAATATTTTGGTGCATCGATTAGTGGTCTAAGTGTGTGATTTATAAAGTCATTGTCTTTAAGAATTTATGCTTTGGTTAAACAAACAAACACTAAGACACACAAACATACACCAAAAAGAGACATAAAATATATATGTCTAAGAGTAATTACACTTTAAATTTAAAGGCAAGCCAAAAGAGAAAAAGAACAATATTAAAGATAGATTATTCTAATCATGCATAATTATGTTTGAGTGTCTCAAAATATTTTCATCATGCACTATCCCCATGATCAAAAGTAATCTTCATGTGATGATGAAGAATCTTGCATTTTATTTAATCATCAAGAATACCTTTTTCTTTTTTTTTTTTTTTTTTTTTTTTTTTAATTATTCTCTTGGACGAAAGTATACCGAAAAATAAATACCGTCACTCTTTGCAACCCCAATGATATTTAAAATCAATGCAAATATTATATTCCCACCGAGCATTATAGACATCGAAAGCTACATCCTTGTCATCCCACCAGAGGTGGCAAAAAAATAAAGTAGCGGGGGTCTCACAAAAATTAAAGTGAAAATCTCATAAACTTAGGCAAAATTACGAAAAATACCTCCACCTACTCATAATTACCAAACTTCCCTTGGTATTTGTTTCCGTCTTACATCGACCCTCTTTCAATGTCATTTTTTCATGAAATCTTTTTTATTTCAGAAAATATTTCCAAATATACCTACATGGCATTTCTTCTTCATTTTGTTTTTCAAAGATAAAAAATACTCTCAGAGGAGATAATGATGGTACTAAAAACTAATGATAAGACTTGAGCGTCGGGAGAAAAAGCATAATGAAGACTATAAGAGATTATATAGATGTAGAAAAAGAACAATTTATGAAAGTTAAATCATTCAAATCATGCATTATTATATTTTTAATTTACTCAAACTATTCTAATCATACAATATACTATACATGATGAAAAGTATTACATTATTCATGGTATATATGATGAAGAATCTTACATTTTATTTAATCACCAAGAATACTTTAATTCTAATTCTCTAGGAGGGTAGTATCCCGAAAAGTAAATACCGTCACTCTTTGCCACCCAGTAACATTTAAAATCAATGCAAATATTATGCTTCCACCGAGCATTATAAACGTCGAACGCTACATCCTTGTTATTCCACCAAAGGTGGCAGAAAAATAATGTATGGGGGATCTCACAGAAATTAAAGTGAAAATCCCGATTTACTGTAACATTGTGATATCCAAGTTCGTCATCTTTCGAAGCGCAGTGCATCAATAACGGTTCCGAATCGGGAGGCAAATTGTTAGCTACGTAAACATCGTATTTCGGACTAAAAGCACAAGTCCTTTTGTCTATTGATGCTATTGTGATTTGGAGAAGGTTTGAAGAATGGATTATGAGAAATAAGAGAAGATAATTCATTATTGTATTTAATTTTGTTGAGAATTATTTTATTTTTCATTTATTGATATATCTATTGGCTTTGGCTTTCATATATATAGTGAGATTTAGATGGATGCCGTGTACATTTTAAACATTCTAAAAGATTTCGGATATTATAGTTATTATTGCAATTCGATTCGAGTTGATGTAATCTAAATAAAATAGATTGATAATATATTTTTACTATTACAGTAATACTTCGTCATAGATATCATCGAATAATTTTTATCAACGTAAGATATGCAAAAAATATTAATTGCTTAAACTAAAGTGAATAAAGAAATAATAAATTAAAATATTTTTTTCTTTGATCATATCAAAATGAAAATTGGAGAACCCCTTTGTGAGCGGCGGATGTGAAGAAGATGTGGTGGTGGTGAGCTTGGTGGTTGTGTAAGAGGGCGGAGTTGGTTTCTGGTGGTGAGCGGCGGACGGCTGCAACATATGAGATAAATGTTTGATGAAAGTTGTGAATTGGGTGAGTAGGGTGGGTGGTGTGCGTGAGATGGGTAGTTGCTGGGATTGGGAAGAAGATGAAGACATGTTGTTTTTTTTTTTTTTTAAATTTTATTTAACATTTATTCCATTTTAAAAATGGAAAAGACGTCAATAGCCTTGGATTTGTCATGTGCAATGCACATGGGTTGAAAACCGGTCATTTTGACCTAAAAACAAGCAAAAACTGGTAAAGTGGCACAATTAATTAAGTACATGTGAATTCGTGCAAAAACTATTTGTTCAAGTGGTGATCAGCAAAAACTGGGAAAATTACATTTTTCGTCCTCAAACTTTATTGACTTTTTCGATATTGTCCTTAAACATTTTTGAGTTACAATAGTGGTCCCTAATGATGCCATTTTTTAACAAAAGTGATCCACCGTTTAGTTTTTCTGTTAAGTTAACGGAAACTGCACATGTTACTCACATGACTTCTATTTTTCACACAACAAAGAAAAGAAAGGGCTTTTAACAAGGTGCACTCCGTGTCGTTAAAAAAGAAATACAAGAAAAAATGGCTTATCAACAAGAAAAGTCAATATCTTTCTATCCATAAACCATATGTGCTACATCTGTGACACTTGTAGCAGACCTTCATCTCCATTCCTAACTCTGGCAAACGGCGGCTACGACCGGCCTAAAAAATGCCCCATGTATGCCCTAAAGCTAGGCTTATGCATCAATCTACTTGGTCATGATCGGTTGGTTGGAGTTATAATTGGGTTAAACTATTCTTTTGTTTATATATCTCTGTTTGGGAATTACTAAATCTTTAGATTAAAAATTTATTAACATATTTTTTTGGAAATAGAATCCAGGAGAGTACCAAGGAATTAAGAATTTGTTCATACAGTTAGTTTGGTAGCTAGGCCTCGCGACTTTCGCCATGTTTCTTACTTTGTATATCCTGCTCCTAAAAATGAAACTTCGAAAGATAAGTGCTCAAATAATGCGTTTTTGCCATTCTCCGTTTCTTGGTAGAACTCCTTGTTCGGTGGAATCCACACAAAAAAAATAATACATGTTCGCGCACCCATGAAACTAAAGCCATACGAAGGTAAACAACGAATATATATTTATGCACCATTAGTTTGTTTAATTTAATGTTTAAGACATCATGTGTGGTTACATTTTGAATATGTTAATGTGTTCATATGTCAAAGAATTCAAGAGGTTTAATGATTTTGTGTGAGGGTCGTTGCTCTCCCTTTTATTTGATTCTCAATTATGTAATTCTCATAAAGAACAAGTGGTCGTGGTTCTTACTTGTGTCTGATGAGTGAAAGAAAATAATAGAAAATAAAGAATAAAAAGTTGTATTTGGAAGGGCTGATTATGGTACGGTGTTGTTTCTCTTTTTTAAATATATTTTTGTAGATTTTGTTGTCTTTTATAATATGTTTTGTTTTATTTCCTTCTGGTTCATATCAAAATTGCATACAATTTTTATGTCTAAATCAACTAATTATGAGATTTACCTTGTATTTTGGGTTTAACAAGATGCAATGCATGTTGTTAAAACACTTTATTTTCCTGTAATGTGATATTAGAAGTCATGCGGGTGGCACGTGCAACTTCCATCCAACTTAACTGGAAAATTAAACGGTGGACCATTTTTGTTAAAAAATGGCATCATTAAGGACTACTATTGTAACTCGAAAATGTTTAGGGACAATATCGAAAAAGTGAGTAAAGTTTGAGGACGAAAAATGTAATTTTCCCGCAAAAACTTAAAAAGTTTAGGTGGTTCAATGCGCGCTCTCTCTCTCTCTCTCTATATATATATATATATGGCGTTTTCTTTTCTCTTTTCTTTTTTTCTTTTTCTAGAAGTATAAATGCTAAAATTGTGTTAGGCAATACTAGGGCGGAAATGGAACGAAATTTTCGATTTCAATTTGAAAGTCAGGTTTTAGAATAATATTTTTCAATCAGAATTCCAAATTTCCAACTTCAGATTTTTCAAAATTACTAGAATCGAAACGAAATTGGAATATATATATATGAGATTCCAATTTCCTATCTGATTTAAGTTTCGAAAGTAATTCCGAAAATTCAAATTTTATTATGAATACTACACTTAAAATACAAATATTTTATGTATTATATATTTTAGGTGACCGAAAATTGAAAATTTCCAAATTACACCAATTTCGATCCAAATTTTTTTGATTTCGAACAAGTTGTTTTGTTCCGGTTTCTGAAATTTAAATTTCTTATTTTTTCGGAACGAAATTGGAACTAGTTTTTCACTTTAAAAAAAATCGATTTTTTTCGAAAATAATTTCGATCCAATCTGTCCGATTTACACACCCCTAGGCAATACCGTGCCAAGCTGTCATATTGACTCACTTTTTACACACACACAAAAAAAAAAAAAAAAAAAACTCATTTTATTCATGAATATATTCCAATACATATGAAATATTTCATTTATTTAATTCAACTATATATTATATATAACATCAACTCAGAAACAAACAAACTCTAATTCCCCCTTCAATACCAGCTATTCCAAAGTTTTCCATTTATATAAACGCCATTTTCACTCGTCTCGTATACGCAAGTGCCGTCGACACATGGATTAGGAAATGCTGCATTAAAAACATCACCCGATACCATCTTCGTTTCCCATTTGAGGTCGCAATAGAATATCGTGAGCAAAGGTATCACGCAAAAACTAAAATGAAAATCTTGATTTACTGCAAGCGTATGATATCC